TTCCAGGTTTCCAGGATTTCTGTTTGATTCCCAATTGGATTTTAAAGGAATTTATGTGAAGCAAGGCCACCTCCAAAACTAGAATTCCCAGGATTTGAGAATTCTGGAGGCGAAAATGCCTCCCATATGGATCTTGGGGAGGGGGGGGGGGCGAGCATATTATATATATATATTATATACATATATGTATTTATCTATATTTATATGTATATATTTTTCGGTGGGTCTAGCCCCGTCCCCACCCCCTCTGAAGCACCAGTAAGGATGTATGAGTCTGCCCTAAACCCTAAACCCTTTATGGTACGTAAAAGGAAGCTTAATAGCAGAGCACTCTTTCAATAGCGTAATGCAAACCTTACAGCGGATTTGAGTTTAGGGTTCAGGGTTTAGATTTTAGGGTTTTGGGGGGTTGCTTTTGTGCAGATTCATTGTTCTAGGGATCCAAGTATACAAATAATACCTACGTTGGGCCCGGAAGTCTGTAAACATTACCTACATATTTGGATCCCTGGGGTGTGTGTGCTGCGCAACAAACCCTAAACCTTAATCACCCATCACCCTAAACCCTAAACCCTACCCCTGTAAACTTTGTCGCTCAGAGCATTGCCTTCTATTCCGCGAAGTGGTTGCTGGGTGCGACGGAGTACCTAAAGCCCAAAAGTATGTAGAATAATGGCCCTAAACCCATAATAATGGCCATGAAGGCCATTTTGTTACATACTTTTGGGGTCCAGGTAGCCCTCACGTTCCCGCCACAGGCTTGTGGGTTTCACTGTGGTTTCAGCGTCCCAAAGTTGTCCTCTCAGGGTCTCAGGAGTCACGGATCAGGTGCGCTATGGTACGCTCTGTTCCAGGAGTCTCAGGATGTCGCCATGTGAACCACGAACCCTACGGCCCGAAGTCGCAAGTCTTCTGCGCTCAACATGCTCCGAAGTAAACGCACGAACCCTACATTATGCATAGACTGCCATTTTAGAGATCCCTAGCTTTCTGCGATCTTGATGTTCCCTGGTAAAAGAGCCATCGCTTCTTAATCTGAATCACCTGTCTCTAATATGAGTCATAACCCCCTTTGAACAGCTACAGGGAGCCACATGATCCGCTCATCATCCCCGGATATCACTTTGGGAATCCACCAGGTGAGTTCTGAAGGCTCCAACAAATGCCGGCTTACCTGTGCCTTCCTCATCGGGTTGGGTGCAGGAGGGTTCAGTAGAGGCTGGGTAGATTGGAGTTGGGTAGAATCCCACAGACCTTCCAAGCGGCTCATATGAGCCGTAGCCTAAACTTCTGATATATTATATGGGGATTTTATACGGGCGTATCACAGGGTTATTAAGGGGGATACTAGGAGTTTAATTTTAAAGCGCATATGAGTTACGGGAGCCTTATGATGGTAGCCTTAATGCGTACCCGCGTGTAGATCAATTTGGGCTCGTGAATTAGGCAGCATGGGGCTATTCAACCATGGATTGGGGTTCACGATGGTTCACGGCTCAGGGGAATGGAGGTGAAGAAGCTAGGGTTTAGGGTTTAGGGTTTAGGGTTTAGGGGTCGAAATCTGCTTTTTTTCATCCCTACAGGTACATAGATGTTACTGAACAGCGCGGGTGAAGTGAAAGGGGGCCCCGCACAATCAACATTGACTCCTAAACCCTGAATCCTGAACTCTAGACCCGAAACAGAATGCCTGGCTTAAGATTTAGAGGGTTCATGCTCAGGATTTTGGATGAGGGTCGAGGCGCCCTGACCCCCAACCCAATCCGAGTTAAACAGGGCTCTGATGGAGCTAGAGATTATGTGGGTCCCTATCAGGATAGTATTCTTAGGGCCAGGGACGGGGAATAGTGTCACGCAATTTCGATTTCAGCTGCATTCGCCCTATTCCTTCTCCTTACACAAGGCCTGAAACCTACACCCTGAAGATTCCAGACCAAACCCTCCAGAATCTGAAGCTTCAGCCTACAGACCTTCACTGATCAGCCATGAAAACTGTGCAATGCGGCAGCCTGAAATCCAAGCCCGGAACGGTTGCCAGCCCAAAACCCTCAAGTCAAGTTCTCGGCAGTCAGCTAGGAATTGGAGGAATGGATGTCTAGAATGGACCGTTTTAATGACGAGTCGAATCCTCCTTTTCTTTTTTCATTATACCTGGACCTCAAAAGTAGGTAAAATAATAGCCCAAAACACCTAAAATCAGCCCAAAAGGCAATTATTCTACATACTTTTGGGGGTTCAGGTATTAGACCCCTAAACCCTAAACCCTAAACATTCCCCGTCACTCCAGCACCACTAAGTCAAGCACCACTATCCCACAGCTCCAGCAGCCAAGGCCCTCTCACGCATGAGCGCATCCACACTCCCGTGCGGGGGGAGAGGCCTCGGAGCGGTCTTGGTAGGGCAGCTCGGGGATTTTTGGCGGCCCTAAGGATTTGAGAGGCATATAGCATTACCCTGAACCCCAATAGTAGGTAAGATAATAGCCCAAAACCCGTATAAACAACCCAAAAGGCTATTATTCTACATACTTTTAGGGTTCAGGTAGGGTTTAGGGTAAGTGTATGGAGATCATACGGCCCCTTGGCCATATAAAGGGGCGATTGTGACAAACCGACCAACTGGGCTTCAAACCATTCTCACCAATCAGGTCTGGTCTGTACTGGCTTACCATGCAGAACCCATCATCGCGTCTGGAGCTGTTGGGAATCTGGGCCCTACACCTCAAGCTCGCATTTTCATGGCCCCATTGGGATGTTCAAAATGGATTGTGTGGGGACGTGTCCGGAATGTTTAGTTGTGGTGGAGGCAGTTCATTTTTGAAGTATACCGCGCTTCGGCGAGCGGGA